CGTGTAATGGTCGACGCTCCCTCGCTCACGGTCGCCCATATATGGTGTATTATGTATTTTTTTTCGCAGAGAACCCCCTTAAATTCTTTGGGGTGCAGGTGCGGTGGAAGCGTAGGGATTTTTGGTCCACAGAAACAAAATAACAAAACACGTCGTACTTGCACACTCCAACACCGAGAGACCGAGTGAAAGAGAAACGAGTAAACGACCTCTTGGTGCAGGTGGTGTTCGGTAGTTGTGATGTCTTGACGACGACGACGATGTGGTACCTCCACGCCCGTCCGCGTTCCTATTCGGGAAAAAAAATGCTTAACACTCGAGTCGCGGCAACTCTGTCATTTTCAGCAACGTTGTTTTCTAATGCTAACGAGAAATAAGCGCTGTTAATTTTCCCGCGTCCATTGTGTAATTGCGAATAATTTTAATAACTATATTAGGCGGTTGTGAAACACTTTGTCACCTTTTCGCTAATGGTTGTCGGTGAAAGCGTTGACGAAACGTTAGGAGCGGAGTGTTGAACTATCGCAGTTTTTCCATTTGTCACGACGCCTGCGGGCCTGTTTAAAAAATAACATGTTTTCTCCGGAGTAAAATTGTATTTTATTTATTCGTATAGTAGTATTTTTGGCTTTCGATTAAAATTTTCAGAAACTGAAAACATTTGGGAACGCTAAATATAGTCGGACACCCGTTTCCATTATAAAATATTTTGCGCTTATAAATTAGCCAACAGAAGTTGTCTACGAAAAATATAAATGAACGTCGCTGTTTTTATTTGCGGTTGATTTATCGAAATTATCATCTCGTACGCGTACAAACGGAAGTAATTGTATGCCAGTTAATCTTCACTAGTGTTATTAATTCAAAAAACCGACACTTTGTTCAAATTTTGGTACGACCGCGTAATAAACAGTTTTCGTGTATACAGTGAGTGGTACGACGTTCGTTGGGATGTAAACAACAAGGTTTAGTCCATAAGACTGCCGTGTCCACAAATGTGCCAAAAAAAAAAACAATTAATACGTTTCATGAATCGACTAAACCGCACGAGCACATTTTGCAATCGGAGAACGTTAACCGATTGAAGCCGAGGGTGTATGTGAGCCGTCAGATACGTTCGCCTTGAATGGTATTGCGCATGCTCAGTTCCCATTAATCCGTTCGTTTCCTGTGCACACTCGGCGAAAATGTATGCACGTGAATACGTAGGCCGCGGCGGCGTTGTGGTCATTAAACCCGCCGGTAAAAGTATTCTTGTAGCGGTAAAACGAACAGGCGAAAAAGTTCGTTCGTCGTAAAACATATAAAATAAATCATATCGTTGTAATCCAAACATAATGGAAACGACCGTCTGACGGCTGTTGAACTCGCCTGGTGCACGACACTAATAGTTTACCTTTTGCGAGTCTAGCATTTATAGAATTGATATTATTGTCGCTGCCAAATAAATATCGCCTGGTAACTGATGATATCGTTAGAGTATTGTAAAACACGTGACGTTATGTTTACCTCTATTTGTGAACCGTCTTAGTGTTTATTGAACCGGAAAATAATATTCAGTGTAATGGTTAATTAGGTCGGTGAAAAATGTTTTTTTGTATTGACCCAGTGAGCAATTCTAATCGCTTTCATCTTCCGAGGAAATTTTCATTTGTAAATTAACGAATTCCCAATACGTGGTAAGCGTATCGTTAAATGTTAATTCGTGTCATGTCATAATCTAATGTTTACAGGCTGAATAATTTGTTGTTGGGTTAAGTATTTTGGCAGTTTCGAATTTTTTTAAATATCAATTTCATTTTTACATCTTACCGATCAGGAACAAGGACGATCCTAGAGATTAATTTTACCGGGCTGTGAAGTGAAATTTTCTGTCTTGAATACCTTAAAAATACGAGTAAAAATGTCCTCAAATTATTCAAAAAATGCCGACCACTAATGACGTTTGGGCCGAGTGTGACATCTCCGCACACTTATGAAACGGTCTCTGGTTGCGTATTTCGTGTATCGTGTCTTATGCAAATATGTGTATGAGATTATTTTGATGTTTCGGCTATTATCTTGTCCTGTCTATACGTCCAAAACACTTCATTTCGCGTTTTGCACAACGGTCCCGTGTCTGGTATTCACTTTTTAATCGAAATTCAATAATTATGATAATAACTATTAATACGGTTTTCTTAGGCGTCTCTTTTTCTTAATCTATTCACTACTAAATTTACATATTAATTGTAGTTGATATTTTGCGAAGAAGAACAAAAAATCGGACAAACTGAAAATATTTGAAAGTGTTAAAAAGTTAAAGATTAGTGACTCTAATCGTTTATATTTATTACTAATTTCAATATTTTATGGTCGATTGTTGTTCATATTTCGCATTTGTTTGTCAACTGATTGTTACGACCGGTCGTGAACGCGACTACAATGAGAATTGTTATCGTCATCACTGCATTATGAGGTCAACTCATCGAAATGTCATTAACGCCGATGTCGACTTTACAAAGTTTCGGGTCGAGTTCAACGTTCCTGCCGCCTCACACGTATTGTCCACCCTCTTTCGGCAACCCTTCGCCTCCTCGCGTGTTAAACATCAACAAGGGCAGCAATAGGAAGCACATATTTATACTTTTTTTAGTCCACCGCCACATCCACCATCAAAGGGCGCTTAAAGCACGAGCAGCGACGGCCATTGTGCTTGCCCCCCTCCCCTCCCCTTTTGTACTTGGTTCTTTCTCTCGCTGTGTACATTTCAATGTATAAATATACATAATGCGCGTGTGTTCGCGTGAACAACCCACATCGATCGGCGGTGCTGCACAGCGTATAAACGAGTCGGTATGGATGCAACGTTGTTAAACGGCAAACGTTCCGGAAACGATTCCCCTCGACACGCCACACGCTACTCGTGTACGTAAACCTTTCGACTTCTCTTCGGGCTGTTTTTACCTTCCGTTTAAAATTAGACCGCATTAACGTGACCCTGATGGATCCCACGGTTAGGAATCGGATGTTGTATCTGCATAATATCATTGTGGTGCGCGTACTCGTCCGTGTCATTGATTCTGAAACTGGGCAATCGAGAAATCCGTCAAACTAGGTCAACTCGGTCGATAAGTGCCGGTTTTTAGATTGCAATTTTTACTATATCGTTAGTAATTACTCCGATTCGCCCGATTACGTCGACGTACAGCAGTCCTATTGTTCTAAAAGTTTCAGCTACCTCGGCTCGCCAGGTTTACTTCTCCTCAGTCGTTATTTATGAATTATTAACACGTGTTCAAGTTGGACGTCCATACGAGCAATTTGTTTCCAAACGAGAAGTATATTGCACTGCATTCAATTGCATGTATTCATTCGATGTAATAGACGGTTATTACGTGTGATTTATGTACAACGGGTTTATTTTCTAGTAGATACTTCGTTCCCGCACAACAACATTAATTTGACGGTAAAAAGTTTCTGCAACATTCCAACTTATCCCGTGGTTTTAGCGCATACCGTACGCAGAAAATTGAAATGCACGCGACCGGCACGTTCTTTATTAAAACTTGAGAGTTATCGAGTGTAAAATGTGTCGAGTGCAATCAGCCGGCGAGTTCGTTCTACGCCTTTGTACGTGTTTCGACAACTACAGTACATACCCAACACCACTTATGGCAATGGATTAACAGCTCAATTGATATATTTTAATCCGACCACCTCGTTTTTATGCGCACGTCACATTGGCTTTGACTATTACGTATCCAACCCAATGAAATGCCAACGGGTCCTTATTTTTTATTCGGCTTATTTAATAAATTATCATTTAAACGATGGGAGCTTTTGTCGTTATTGTTATTACTGTTGCTGTTGTTGTGGAGGTGACATGACGTTCTCGACGGTAAAATAATTGTTCGAGCAACTTTTGATCATTACGAGTGCGTAATGTTCTAACCGAATGTGAGCTGTAAATGTTTTACAGCGTAGAACAAAGTTTTTTTTTTGCATTCAACGCACGTTTCGCATACTTATCAACTCATTTTTAATGATCGCGTCCGACTCGCGTGTAAATAATCGCGTTCTGAACACTGTCGGCTGGCTGCCTCGGCGACGAGTGTAGTGCAAAGAATCTGTGTCAGCAATTATTATTATCATCGTACGGCGATTCGAGTGCCGTCGGTGTAGTGGCGATATGTTATGAGATGAAGAAAAAAAACTCCGTGCGATGGTACGTTAGTGTAGCCTTGAAGCACTAAAAAACGATTCGGCGTGTTCCCCTTCCGCAAGCCAATAGTCTAAGACAATGTAGAAATATTTCGCTTCGTGTATTGTTAACGTAGTCTTCTAATTTAAATTTTCGCTTCAGTGTCATTAAATAACTTTTCATAAGGTCGGCTGTCGTGAGACTTTTTTATAGATAAATACAACAAAGGCCTATACAGTCCCATAATCGTAATTTGTAATAATAAGGATGCGCGAATCCACACGAAATGAACGTCTCTGCCCAGTTATTTCCGTTTTTACCAATGGTTACACTAAATGTGATTAGCGTTGCGTGAATCATTGAATAATTTTCAAATATACAGTCTGTTGTAAAAAAATGTTCAAATTTTTTTATTAAAATTACTATTACGTAACATTTAAATATATTTAAATTATTAATTGATTGTTTGACGGAAAAATGTAATCTTTCATATATGAACATGTTGATGTAACTATTGTCTTTAACGTTTTTGAATGAACTTGGCTTTGATGTTAATATTATTTGGGTCCATCAGTTGAAATTTGTGTGCATTTTATTGAACATAACAATTTAGTATCACTTTGTTAAACATTTTCTCGATATAGTATTGTACAATTATTTACCTTTATTTATCTTTTAGTTTTTTTATAATTAAAGTATGAAAAATACAATCTAAATTTGCTTATGCTTAGATAGTTTCATTTTTTAATTATTAGCACTGGTCGTAGAATATTTCTGAGAAATTTAAATCTTTTTTTTTTTTTTTTTTTTTTTTCAGAAAATTGAGTTGAAAACAATGAACATGATTGTACCACTATACGAAAGGTTAGTTTCGTTTAAAACTATTAGTTTAAGCTAAGGTTACAAATAATAAGAATAATCAATTAATTATTTAACTCCGAATTTTGTCTTTTGATTTCTTAATACCACAGCATAGATTATATGTATGTATTTTTAAGAAAAGAAGAAAAATATATATTATATTTATCTTATTTTTATTTAAATTTGGCGAATCAACTCCACTCGAGTGTTATAAAAATCTATTAATTTACAATATTTTATGTTAGAAAAAATCAAAGTTTAATAGAAATCAATTTTTTTTAAATAATCGCGCTAGACATTTTTCATAAAAACCACCTACGGCATTAGATTATACATATATATTACTCAAAATAACTGGTTTTTAATAACTGGTTAAACATTTACGGATTCACTTGAATATCTATAAGCATGCATAAAAAAAGGTCAATACCATTTATATGTCAGTAGTGAATACAAATTAAACCTTTTTTTCACTGTCAACTGCTCGTTAAATAGTTATCTATCTATGTATTCAATGCATAACATTGCGCTCAAATAAAATATATTATCGATCGCAACACTATAACACCTGACGTTCTACCAAGGTTAGTGTAAACTCGATTCTAGTTACTATATTAAGTCCTATTACCCTCATAGTTAATTTGTAATCATTGATAATCCTTTTCCGTAACACTAGTACGATTTAAAAATGTTGCATGCCTTCGTTTTTTTCACTTAAAGTTTTTTGAATTATTGAACTTTGTTAAAAGCATAGTTGTTATTATTAAACTGATAAAAAAAACTGTTAAAATTTTTAAAATGGTCGTATTTTAGCGCTTTTCTAATTTTAGGGTATGCCTTATTAGACTACGTTCGAAACTATTAATTTTTTTTTTTTCACAATTATTTAGTTCTTCTCTTACAAAAAGTTTTAATAGATCGATAAGATAACAATTTAATAACAAGTACTCGTTGTGATACGATATTTTAATAATTTGAGAGAATGTGCAGATCAAGTGGATATAGTTCCTAAGTACATTTATAATGCAAACTTTATTTTATTTATAAGGTACAAATAATAAAATATATGCTTTTAATAATGTAAAATTAATTAAAAAATCAACTAAATCTTAAAGTTATTAGTTAGATTTGATTCACTCTGTATACACACATGTATATATTTGTTACGTTATTGTTGCATATAGAATTTCGTTTGAAAGTGACCTGGAAAAGTGAACGGAAGAAATTCACGCCGTCGGTTACTGCAGTCGCAGTAGTGGTGGTCATGCAGTGTTTTTGTAAAAGTTGTTAGTGAGAAGAATATTGTCGAAAGTGAAAGCACACTAACGATTGCTGTTGTAGCTCGTTGTATACATTATATAGTGATTATTATTTATAATGATATTTTTTCGACTACAGTCGCCTGCATTTTTTACCAACCACGCTTACTAATGTAGTTGAAAAGTACGTCTAGTGAAAAAATACACAGCATAGAAATAGTGCTCAACGGTTGGATTTCAAATAACTTACCGAAGAAACTAAACCGCCTTAAATATTAACCCAACCAAACTGTGTTAAATATTAAAAAAATGTAAGGGCTCTTCCCTTGAAATGCCTAAAAGTAAACTAATTAGGTATTTAAAAGATCAACGCATTGAGTTTTGATTTACCTGTTGTTTTTCTCAAAAATACAACTACCAAATCACTCCCAAAAGCAGAATCGGCACTAAGGGGTGTGTAAAGCCCTGCGATCACTAACGCCGGCCTTATCTCAAAGTATAAAAGTTTTTCTTTTTATGGGTCAATTCTTTAATATTTCACGAACAAGTTAGAGACGTAGAGATAATTTTTTAACATTATTTTGTTACTATTTTTTAACATGTGGATGGCATCTTATGTGACATCAAAACTGTTGCAACTAAAAAAATAAATGCTTTTTCTTACAATAATGCAAAAATAAGTTCACTAAATACTATGCGGGATATTTTTAAAAATTCAATATTTTTTTGTGTTGTGAGATATGTCAATGCGATGTATCGATATTCGAAATCTTGATCACATCTTAGTGATAATGAGTTAAATAAAGTAAGATAATATGATTTAATATTTAACTATAGATAATGATTTCATTTCTAGAAAAATATCACTTACACCCAGAAAAAACCCTCGATCTATATAATAAATTCATTGTTCAATTTGATAAATATATCATTACTATTGAATCTATGATATATTTATCAATATGACGATTTTTTTTCTTATCTTGAATAATAATTATTCATAAGAATAATTATTTTGTTCGTATTAATAAAACGTTATCATAAACCCTTGATAAAATTTCTCTATCAAAATTGATTGAGGTTTTTCTTTGGGTGTACAATTTCTAATTTAAATGTCAAAGACGCACACTCGCAAGGTGGATACATTTTTGCCTACATATCTCCGTTCTTATTTCTAAGTGCACTTATTAATGGCTGGCTTTACGATTTCCGAATTATATTGAATCTTTTTTATAATTAGTTCTTTGGATAAAATTGTATCTTGTAATTCATTTGAAAATTGTAATTAATTGATGAGTGATAAGGATAGGTTGAAGATAGGATAAGGAACTAGCATATAAGAGGAAGTATAGGTGTAGCGTTAATCGTGGATAACATGAGCGAAAATAGACTTAGATGGTCATGTTATGAGGACAGAAGAATCGGAAGCTGTAAGAACAGTTATTGAAATGAATGTTAAATGAAATTAATGAAATGAAGGAAGAAGAGGTAGAGGAAGGCCGAAAAAGAGATGGAGAGATGCTATTGAATGCGATATGAGAACAGCTGATGTGGGAGATCGTGTCAAGTGGAAGTTTAGGATAAGGGTGGCCGACCCCAAGTAGTTGGGATTAAGGCGAGGAAGAAGAAGAAGAATTTATTAACTGTAATTAATTAATTAAGCATATATTAAAAGATAATTTTTCAAGGTCGAGATTTAAAATTTTTAAAGCCTCAAATAAAAATAATTAAGTGGAAATTCCTAGTGATATTTTTCTTTGTTGTATCCTTTGGCCTGTCAATAATTACATCAAAGGATTACATTCTAAAATTAGGCGCCAACAATAAATTATCAGAAGTATAAGAACGATAGTATCGAATAGATATAAATAGAAGAGGCTCATTTGCCCTAGTTTTATTTGAATTGTAAATAAGAAACGTATGTCATTTAGCGTTTTTTATGGAATGTATTTTGTATCAAACTGAAGCAATGAAATGTTTTTGTTTAAAAATGATTTCATTTGAATCGACTATCATTAGACAAAAAATAAAACGATTATTTTTAAGCGTTTATTTGAAGTTGGGTTTCCATTGAACATCGTGTTCGTTTCAGTTTCTGCAAGAGGTCAAAGAACTGTAGCGCCAGTCGTAAAATACAACGCAAATGAAAATACAAAGTTTATGTTAATGTGGTTGCTATCATTTTGAATAAGGTGACGACTCCTTTTTTTGATTTTTAAAATATATATATAGCAATTGTAGTTTATTAAAACTATTTCAGAAAAATCTACTTCAGAAATATGACTCAGTATTATTTTAATTAATTAATTTCTATGCTATTACGATTACATTGATACTTCTTTAATTTCGACACACGCGTACCTTATTGATTTTCAAGGTATAATAGTAAAATAAATATTTGTGCTGTTGTTTCGGTAGTCAATGCAAATAATACTGAATTTTTTTGTCGTTTCCCTACGCATAATTAGTATTAATCATGTAATGATAATATATTTAAAAATCAAGTGATAATCCATAAAAAAAAAAAAGTTTTTTTTACGTGTTCGATTTTATATTTATGTGCATAAAAATTGCTCGGCACAGCAATTGTGTTTCGATAACGATGTCATCATCTTTTTTTTTTGTACTTGAAATATAGTCGAAAAAATATGTGCACTATTTTTTCGCTTTAGATTTGTATAAATAGCATCGAAAACCACATTTACAAAGCTATAACTTTGCACGCTTAACAATTTATTACGCTTTTGATTGATCGAACATTTTTCTGTTGCGTCGGGTTGGTTTAGCTTAAGATGACTGTTTGTACGTCATCTGTAACAAAAAAAAAAAAAATCGCACATTATTTTCTAGAATAATTCTTAATAAGATGATCTAATTCGTTCCATGAAATTATTGAAAGCCTGAATACGTAATTTTGTAGCATGACCAATACATTAACTGTATTCCGTATCAACTAAAATTTTTCATCGCGTACAAATGACTTCTTTCCATAGTCGTGGGCACTAAATAGACTACTTCCAATTTATGGCCTTTTTATTCAATAAATTTATCAGGATCAATAAAAATTTTTGTTGAATAATCGTTTTTTTTTTTTTTTTAGATAACACGAGCAGACATTATTATTACAAGCCTTACAAAAACTGCCATCTCCATTAAAATATTTCCTTGCGTTTAATGTATTCATATAAAAGTAAATTATTTTCTCGGTGCAGTCCCGTGAACTTAAATCGCAAACCTGCCTACTCAAATGATTAAAATATCCTTTGTACACCTCTTTCTCCTCTACATTTCTTTAGCATGCTCTATCATTCCAAGTTCGTCATTTTTAGTACCTGCGGGTTTTCAGAAGGAATTTCAACGGTATACGTTTCCTCTATTCCTTTTCTCTGGTTTCGGTAAACTGGATGAACCCTGTACCGACCGTCCGCTTCCTATCGGTTGGTTTTTCATTGAGCAAAGAAAACACTTTCTCCGAATTTTATGCTTTAGCTCGCAACTACAGGGAGACGCTTTCACCTAAAACGACTACAGCAGCTGCTACCGCCACCGCCGTTTTCTTATCCCAACGCGTTTTGTACTCGTGTCGCAAACAGTTTACACAGTTTTCTTATTTCTTCGTCAGAATAACTGTGAAAATATCAGGAACACCTTGATAATTTTACAGTGTAATTTAATATGATAAATATCGTATAATTTGTTTGTCTGTTGCAGACGACATATACTTTCGTGCAACAGCGATTTAAT